ATCCTGTAAAAGTAAGCGCACCTCAAAACCCATTGGAAAATGTTGTTCCGATGTTGGAAAATCCTCCAATTAATCATCTCGACCTCGAAATGTATAAGAATGAAAAGAAAAAGGATTTTAAGTAGGACTTAAAATAGTGCATTTCGTAAGACATTACTTAGACTGTCCATTTTCAAGATTTTCAAGTGTTTCCCAATTTGCTTTATCCACATTTTTTTTTGGAGCTTCGAGTTTCATACGTAAGGATAATCATATATTTTCAGGTCATTGTGGGTTACTCAGCTACTTCAAAAAAAGAAGAGAAAAAAAAAAGGAAAGAAAGAGATAAAGATATTACTCAGTTCTATTAATCGTTGTGCTACGTTTGGACTTACTGGATCATTTCTGAATCTCGTTCCTCATCAGAGGGACAGCAAATTCTTGGTACATTTTCTTAGAAATCATGAAGGACAAGGTCTCACGACGGCTAACTCTGAGAATTAGCTTCTACTGCAATTATCTGATTCAGCCGTTGTGGTTCAAGTAGTGCGGCAATGATCCATCGGGCTTAAAAGTTTATGAGAAGAATCCATCTCATGATTAAGGCTGCAAGTTGAAGACTATATGTATAATCTTAATTTAATGGTATTACAGGACCCTAAAGCCAACATCAAATCAGTATCAAATTCACCATGGGCACGAATAGATTAGGGACATTGGTCAGACCTTCTGCGTGTTAAAGATTCACCAATGCCACAATTGGGGGCATCTGATTGTGGGAAGAAAAAATCATAATGGAGAAATTCAAAAGAGGGGAAATCCAAGTTTACGTTGATGTGACAGAAAAACCAAATGAAGATATCCAAGTTTAAATGGATGTGAGAGAAACCCAAATGAAGAAATCCAAGTTAAGTGGATGAGAGTGAAATATATTACTTATACAGCACATAAAAATTTGCAGCAATAATGTGATTTATAACACACAAAGCACCATAAATCTTTTAAGAAAGATCTTCTAATAATAATTCAGTGCTGTATGAATATATATGTGTGTGGGGGTATGCATGCTAAGAAAGATCTTCTAATAACAATTCAGTGCTGTATGAATATATATGTGTGTGGGGGGGGTGCACGCACGCACGTGTGTGCATAAGAGCCTGATTTCATGGAGTTAACCTGCATAAAGGTAAAAGTTCTATGACAAGTTTCCCAGTGAAAAATCCCCTTAGCCTAAACCAAGCAAAAGTTATTTCGCTATCCACACAACTTGAAGAAAATTGAAGTTTTTACTACATTTACTGGATAACTCAGGCGAAAACTAAACATTTTTTGGACCTCAAGAAAAATCAAAATAGTCACATTCACCTGAATGTATGAATTTCAAGCCTCGAAGCAGCTGATAAAGGAAGAACTGATAATGCTCAGGGGTCAAGTCATCGTTGGCCTTGATAACCTGGTGTAAATCTGATTCCATGAGCTCGAACACCACATATATATCCTTGAATTCCCTTCTTGAAGGGGGCAATAAGATATGCTTGATCTCAACAATATCGGGGTGGCGAAGAAGCCTAAGAAGCTTGATCTCTCGTAGAATTCTAGTCGCATCAGAGACATGCTCAAAAATGTCATTTATCTTCTTAATTGCGACTTTCTCCCCAGTGTGAGTATCTAATGCAGAGCACACTACACCATAGCTTCCTTTACCTATAACTTCCTCAATCTTATAGCGACTGCCTTCTCCATACTCAGTAAAGAAATCCATTTCTACAGGGCCCTGTATTAGGGGAAAAGTATTGATCAATTAGTGTTCTATTAAACCTCAATCGAAGACATGAATTTTACATCTTTAAACAATGTGTGCGGAACACGAAAGCAGTGCAAATTACAAATTTAACAATAACACAACTTAGAGATTTTCTCAGGTATTTCCTTTCTGTATCTTGTTTCATGGAATTTGATACATGTTTCCCTTTTCTTTCCAGTTAGGGATCAGTATAGATTTCTCATCAATTCTAAACATTGAAAACAGTAATAAGAGATGCACCCAATTATTAACAAATGTTTATAGTGGGTCAGATTTTATAACCAACTGTTTCAGTTTCTTTTGTTCTTTTTCTTTTTGAAATTCAGCATCAACTCCTGATTTTCCAACCAATTCCATATGAATGCAGACGAAACTAGGTGGGAAAAATATATAACAGATTGAGAAAGAAAACAAATGAAACCAAGTAAAAGTTTTGAATGGCTTTCCCCAAATTAACTCAGATTAAATTTTGCCAAAACCTTTATTGGGCTTTAAGGAAATTTTCTGGGGTGAATTTCGATCCGCTTATGCTAGGCATATTTACAATTACACTCTGAATACACATCTGATAAAATTGAAATAATATAAAAGGTAAAATAAATTGATTGGGAAATAGAAAAGAGCACACATCCCTCAAATGTTTCTCGGATGTCTCCATGGAATCCTCAAATTACCACATCATTTTTACAGATTGATTGAAAAAAAATCTACCATGCCTAAATATATTTATATCAATTAAATAAGTGGAAAAATTGTAGTTTTCAAAACAAAAAAAAAAAGCACCCCACTTTTAAATTTAAATAATTTAAATTCAAACAAAACGAACAACCAGAAGTTCGAATTTAAACAGATCAAAACCATGAGTTTCCAAATTAGAAAAAAAAAAAAAAAAGTCCATTTACACAACTACCAAGTTTCACTTGTGAGATTCACATTAAAAACGTAAAATTCTCTAATGCAGGCTTCATTGATTAAAAAAAAACAAGAAGAAGTAACTTTCAGTAAATAAACTATCACATAAGCAATAATTATAAAATAAGACTGTTTCAAAGTCCTTGAAAACCATTTAATATATCAAGCCTTGGATGCTCAACGAACATAAATAATTAAATTTGAGGGAAAAAAAATCTTACTTTTCTTCTTTGATCAGGCTGCATCTTTGCGTGTGAATATTCAAATTGTCCCGAATTCTACCCAATTGTGAATTAGGTCTTCTCGACCCCAAATCACAAGCTCTAGAGAGAGAATTGTGTAGAGATAGAGAGAGAAACTGAGGCAGATAATGATCGAGAAATAGAGAGTAATGTGAAAAAATAAACACTTAAACGACTCGATAGAGCGAGATTTCGACTTAAATAAAGGAAAACAGTGAAGCGAGAGATCAGCTTTTAGTGAGAGAAACTGGAAGAAGCATCTGATCGGAAAATTAAGTTAAAATAAACAAAAAAATAGGAATAGTGTAGAGAAATAATGTTGCAGGGATTAGGAATAGTTTAGTGAGAGAAATAATATCGTCGAGAGAGCATACGAACAATGTAGTTAGAAATGTTAGAGAGAGAGAGAGAGAGAGAGAGAGAGAAAGGGGAAAGGAGAGCGAAGTTTAACGAGGAGCGCGTGTAAATGCGGAGTCCTTTCATCTGTGGCCAGCATTATGGGTTGAGAGGGACGATGATTGAAATATTGCCCACAATCATTAATGAAATTTCCAATAATTGCCCCTATTCATAATAAATAGGGAAATATACATTAAAGGGAGGACCCGGTTTCCATGCGGCCAAGCCTGCATATGTAGAAATGCGGGCCTCTTAATAACATCTATTTTTTAGATGGATTTTAAGATTTAATTTTCAAGGACACGTAAACTCTAACATGGAGATCATGAATATGAATAAATAAATAAATTTTAAGTACTAAAAGTAGTAATTCTGGTAAGAAAATATTTGAATCGTTAGTTTTCATTGTTTTTAAATGGAACACCTACTTGAATCCATCGATGTTTTTCACTTTCTGGACTGTATATGTAGAAATGCGATCCGGCTTGCATGAAACAATTTTCCGTAAGGAAAAATTTTTGTAAGTTTAAAATATAATTAGGAAAATTGTTTCGTGTGGACCGGACAGCATTTCTACATATGCAGTCCAAAAAGTGTAAAGCATCTAAAAACAATAGAAACTTACAGTCCAAATGTTTTTTTAGTAAAATTATTATTTCTAGTTTTTAAAATTTATTTACTTTTTCATATTCATAATCTTCATGTTAGAGATTCCATGTCTTTAAAAATTACGTCTTAAAATCCATCTAAAAAATAAATCTATTAAGGGGCCCGCATATCTACATGTGCGGGCTTGGCTGCATAGAAATCGGATCCATAGAATTACAGTGCAGCACAAAAATCCATCATAAAAAAGTTGCTTTGATGTTGGAAAATCTTCTAATTGATCATCAACATGTATAAATATAAAAGTAAACAAAGATTCCGAGTCCTGCACATAGTTTATATTGAAACACATTATCCGGACAATCCATTTTCAAGATTTTCAAAGTGTTTATAGATTTATTTGGTTTGAACTATTTTTAGAAATTAACGTTTTATAATTAAATACGAAAATAGATTATCAAGCTAGCCTAAAAAAAAATTGACACTTTAATTATATTGATGATAAAATTTAAAGGCAAGACTTAATTTAATTGTTTAAGGTTGCAAGGATGGAACCCCTTTCAAAATAAGTTGTTAAAAGATCATTAATTACATCGGAGGGTTTAGCTTTAAATATGAATATCAATCAGGTACCCATGTAAAAATATTAATAATTTTCTAGATTGCCCTTATTGAGTGTTTATCTAGCCTAAATAATTAGTGCTCTTCATTAATTCCTATCTCCAAATTAGTCTTAACATAATGAGATAAGCAACCTATCCTTGTTGAGAACTGGAAATAACGAACACCGTGTTAGAAATAAAAACTTGTACAACATTTTGGGTAAGGAATAAAAAGAGGTAATTTCTGGCATTTAACATAGATACTTGTATTAGATCGTATATCTAAAAGGATTGTATACAATGAGACTATTTATTTTTGGGTGCGATTTCTATAAGGTTGCAACCTTAAACGATCTAATTAAAGCGTGCCTTAAAATTTTATCATAACATATAATTTTGTTGTAAAAAAAATCTTAGTATTATCTTAAAATCTATTTTCATACCTAATTAGAAATTTTTAAATTCCAAAAATAGTTAAACTCAAGTAGATCTATAAATATATGAAAATCTTGAAAATGGGCAATCTAGATAATGTGTTGCAAGATGCACTAGTTTTGGAACTCAAAAAATATTTTTTTTTCATATTCATACATCTCGATGTCGAGATGATCGATTAGAGGGTTTTTTCAACATTAAAATAACATTTTCGATAGATTTTTGAGGTGCATTTGTGATTCTACATTTTAAGATTGCAACATTATATAAACTTTTTCTTTTATTTTTTATACAAGGAGGTTTTAATTATTTACAACCATCTGATATGAAATCTGACATCTAAATGTATCACAAAGTTGGAAAAAAGTTATTTGGAAGTTTGAGCTTGGTTAATGGAATAATATAACCATTTGATTTCGCCTCCAATGATCAAGATTAATTGTGACCACCATGTACCAAAAATAAATGGTGTCATTGTATACTTTTCCACATGTAAAATAACTTAAATATCACTTATTGTTCCTCATTTCAAATACCAAACAAGTTGTTTGTTATTTTCAACTCCAAACAAGCAAAGGCACTTTGACATTATGTTAAGAGCTATTTGGTGGTAAAATTATCAAAGTACACCAAATTGTTTAGGCTTTCTAACCCCAAATAAGAACAACATGGGAACTTTTAAAAAAAATTTGAAGACTGATTGAAATGGAAATTTAAGTGCAAACTTTTAAATGTAATTTGTTATATTTTGACTCCTCTAGTAGGGTCAACCCTTTAATTAACATTTTATCAAATAAATAATTATTTTGCTCTTTTTTATCCTATGAATGTGCTCTTATACCTCTGGATTTGGTTCAATCAAAACAAGAGTGGTAGTTGATCAAATTAGTTGGACTATACTTTTAAAAATAAAAATAGTAGAAAAAATAGCTAAAAAATCAAATATATCAGAAAAAAATGTTTCAACTTTGTTTAATCAGTTAAAATGTCAAAACCAAACAATCCAATTGTTCAAACACTAATTTTGACTGGTTTTCGACTAAACCAAGATTTTGTGGTGGACCAAACACCACCCATTAACGCTTTTAAAAAAGCTATCTCCCTAATCTATTTGAAAAAATGGATAGAAGCCTGTCTTCTCTACTTAATTGCCCCCAAAAAAAACATTTGAAGACGCAATTATTTAGGCATGAGTTCATACTATTTTTATTTTTATATTTTATTCTTATTTGGTGTTGAAAACATTACATCCCAAAATTTGAGGGTCTAAATAAAATAGGGTTTTAAGGGATTGTAAGATATGCTCCCACCGGTGCATGAAATACTTGGCCTTGCCAAATCTTTGATATTCTTTTGTTTCCTTCTTATCAGAAACACCCCCTCTCTCTCTAACCTCGGAATAAACAATGGGCCCATGTCCTTTAAGAATTTTTTGGCCTTAAGGATTTGTTGTGTAATATCTCATGAAATACAAGGGCATTTTGGAGAATTTCACTATACTGTTTTTTATGTTGTCCACCATGTAGTGGTCACTTGGTTGGCATTGAAGATGGAGAGAAAAAGGACTTCCTTGTGGTCAAAGCAATTGGCATGTCCAAATAAAAGATGCCATAAAAAAAAGAGACAGAATGATAAAAAATTTAAAGGCAAATTTTTTCTTTTTTGGTAAGTAAAAGCAAAGTTAGATATCCCATGTTATACTTGTGTGCACCATTTATATCATGGACACGATAAAAATTATTTGGCATGGAAATGATATTATGAGTCAACAAGCCTGCACCTAATGGCTCAGAAAATTTCAACACATTTGGACGAATCAGTGGTTAATATTGCATGTTAATTTTTCCTTCTAAGAATATAAGTGGTCAATATTGCATGTTAATTTTTCCTTTTAAAAAATATAAGGGTTTAAATAGACATTTGATTTTGCCCATATGTTGGAAGGATTTTACAGGATTCAGCCAAGCGTCTCAATTGTGGGATATCATTGAGAAATAGATTATGTATTTTCAAAAGATTTCCTATAATTATCATTTACTTTTGGTATGAGAGGTTACGGCCATAATTGACTGTTAGATGTAAAACTAAGTTGTTGGGAACATATCATTGATTGTATATAGGTCTAAAATAAGATTTCTCGTGAATTTGATGCACTTCGACCAATTAAATTTCACATCCAATAACTTTGAGCAATTGTGACCGTGTATAAAAAAATGAATGCCTTATAGCAACAATCTATAAAATGTCTGGGTCCAAATTAATCCAACTTTTTCAGTTGCATATATAATGCTGTTTTCCTTTCAACCCTGCCATACAGATTGTAATATTCTATGGACCGGCGGGCTCGTTGAATCTTCATCCATGCTGACAGAGAAATCTAGGGGACTTGAGTGGACACTGAACAATATTTTATTATGTACATTGTGAAATTGGGTTGTGTTTGTAGGCTTGTTTAGAAGGAAACAATGAGGGGGCAGGCGTGTGATGATTGGAATTATGGATCATGCCACAAACTAGGTTGAGGAGATCAACACATTGCCACCATGAAGCCAGCTCTCTCTTTGTCGATTGAGGAGAGATCAAGACATTGCCATCATAAAGCCAGCTCTCTCTTGAATTGTTTGCAAACTCGACCGGTTCAACTCGGAACTGGACATTGAACCATTCAGTTTTAAGCAGTTTTGGTGGTCTGGTTGAGTATTTTAAAAAATATATAAAATCCTAAAAAATATGAGATTTGTTTGTAATATTTTTTTTTAATCATTTTGGCAAAAATTGAAAAGTGTTTTGGAATACTTTTTTTTTATATTTTGTTTTTTTTTGGTAATGTTTAAAAATACCTCTAAGCACAAATCAAAATTTTAATTTTTAAATTTTTTTTTTCCCTACTTTTCAACTTCATTTGGATGTATTTTGTTTAATTATGTTTTAAATATATTTTTCATATTTTAAGTACTATGAAGCCAGCTCTTTCTCTCTCGCTAGATTGATCTCTCTCTCCAGATTGAGGAGAGATCAAGACATTGCCATCATGAAGTGTTTGCACACTCGACCGGTTCAACTCGGAACTGGGCTATTTAGTTTTAGGCAGTTTTGGAGGTCCAATCGAGTATTTTAAAAAAATTAAAAATAAATAAACTTCTAAAAAATATGGGGTTTGTTTGTAATATGTTTTTTTAATCATTTTGGCAAAAATTGAAAATGTTTTGGAATACTTATTTTTATATTTTTATTTTTTGGTAATTTTAAAAAATACCTCTAGATACAAATCAAAATTTTAAAATCTAGTTTTTTTTTTCACTACTTTTCATCTATATTTGGATGTATTTTGTTTAATTATGTTTTAAATATATTTTTCATATTTTTTTATTTTTATTTTTTAGTTTTTAAGTACCATGAAGCCAACTCTCTCTCTCTAGATTGAGGAGAGAT